TTCAGGTTTAAGTCACTTGTATATGTCTCAGTAGAGTCCAGTGCTGGGTATTGGGCATTTTGTGGCTCCATCACCTTATCAAACTTAGGCTCAGACTCCGGGCATAGTAAAATCTTAACTCCGCAGAAGTAAGCTCCGGAGCTAGCTCTTAATAGTAACTTAGTAAAAGGATTAAACGGGTTATCAAGGGGGATTAGAAGGATTAAAGGGATGTCGACACAAATACCTTAACATTCTACTTAATATTAAAATGTTTATTTTTAAGATTTTTTAATAAACCAAAAAAATGATTAAATTTATAATCACTATTATCTTCTATTTATTTATTTTATTAAATATTCAATGCGCAGGAAAAATAATTAAAGTAGAAGCAAAAATCAAAAATGATTGGGAAGGAAAAAGAGAATTTATTTATTTAAAAAATGTTGATTTAAAAGATCGTTTTGTGTTGAAAACAATTGATAAGAAAAATAACAGATTTGATGGATTTAATAAAAATATAGAGGGATATTTATGTTTAAATGAATTTAATCCCGTTAAAAATATTTTTAAAACTGAAATAAAATTAACATCGGAATATAGTCCAACTGAACAATTAAAGAGGAAAATTGTGATTGAAATTGCTAATAGTCAAAAGATACAAAATGTTTTGCCTGAATTTAAAAAACGGGTACTGTATAAAATGTATTTATTTCCCTCGTTGAAATAGTTACCCCACTTCTATTGGTACTCTCTCCAACCACAAATGGAAAAGACCTGCGTTTCCCTACTTTGATTATATGTAGTTACTAGGTATCAAAAAATAACAAAACCAAAAGGAAAAACATGCAGAATTTCCCAAAATATGCATCGATATGCAAATATGCACGAAAATAAAAATATGCAAAAATATACATTAAGAAGCTGGTCCCATATTGCTCGGACCTACGTAAAAACACCATTTTTGAACGTTTCAATTCATAGCATATCCGCATGAAAAATAAGCTTTTGCATGTTTCGCCGTACCCTAATAATTAATTTAAGGTGCTCTTAAAAAATAATTTTGTTGAAAAGAATAAATATTATTATGAAACATCTATATTAAATGAGAATTCAGATGGTAATAATGATTTGAAATTAATTAAAGAAAAAATAGAAAAGTATAAAAACAAACTTTTATCAAGTTATTGGACGGAAATTAATTTAAATGGATATAAAATTGAATTGTTAGAAAAACAAAAAGTTGAAACTTCGAAAGAAGAAAGCAGAATTGTTTATATTGGCAATAAAATGGGTAAGAATAAAATCATTTTTTGCCTTGTCTTATCTTATTACCAGGCATGGTCATGGATACGGATACAGATAATATCAAAATGCCTGCGGATCTCCGCCTGTATCCGTCTGTATCCGCCGTAAATATACGGATACAAAGATCAGTATCCGTGACCATGCCTGCTTATTACTAATGTTGTCATTTCATGGAAATTCTTCGGATATCCGAAACCGAACGAAGAGCCAAACTGAAAAATCTTCGGTTCTTCGATTCTGCATTTTTCGAATAAATATTTTTATTTTTAAAAATATTATAGGTGAAATTTCCGAAGGAAAACAACTAAATTGTTTCAATTGTGGAGTTACTCAAACAAGACAATGGCATAGATATTTGAAAGAAAATTATTTGTGCCACGCATGTTGCACATATCAACAAATCCGGGGAAAGCATAGAACGGTAAAATTTTTGCTAATTACATACTACAAGAGTTTGATCAAGTTAATTATTATTAGAGATGGGGGTTTATAGGGTGTTTAACTACGGTAAACTAAGTGGTAGGAGTTCGTAGAAGAGAGATTAAAGCTTTAACTGTAACTAATTTAAGAAGAATGTAAAAATAAACCCTGCTGATCGTCAATGCTATACTTGCAATACTGTACAAACATCACAATGGTACCGACATTCAGAATCGAAAAACTATTTATGTATGAGTTGCTATCAAAGACAAAGTAGAATGAAGAAAAGAAATGGAAATAGAAGCAATTCAGAATTATTGAAAAAAGCATAAATATGTATATTGAGCGAAAAAATCCTGATACCGAAAAATTTTCGATTCGGGCATTAGATGTTATGCACATATGTTATGTCCTTGATTTAAATATTTCATTATATTGGTATTAGTAATAGTCCCTTAATCTAGATGCCACTAATCATTTTAAATTCACACACAATTTAATCCCTCCAAATCCCTCGATATCTCCCTTAATCCTTCCAATTGGAATAAGTGTTCCCTAATCATGTAATAAGGGCTCAGGCTCAGTGCTATAAATCGCCTTTCTTTTTTTGCTTTAAAATGGGTCTTTATTTTGGCAATCTACTGAGATCGATCAATGCTTTTTAATCCCTCCTTGCTTGCATCCCTAATTTCAAAGCTTTGAGCCTGAGCCCTTATTCCAAGATGAGGGAACCCTTATTCCAATTGGAGTGATTGAGGGGAATATCGAGGGATTTCGGAGGAATTAGAAAAAATTTTGAAGGATTAAAGTATGGATGAATTTAAAATAATTAGTAGTATCTAAGGAATGATGATGGATTTTTAGATTAAGGGATATTGTATTGCAAAAATTATCTCCATCCTTTCTTTTGAAAATATATTCTGTCATCCTCAATTTTTAGTGTCCAAATAATTGCTCGTGGATAAATTTATATCATTAATTTTTGCATATGCATGAATTTTACCCTGTTTTAACTCGTCTTAAATATGGCCACCGTACTCATCGGGGCTGAATCCAATTAGTTACTGCTTTTAGTATTTTTGAGGTAAAGGTCGATTCTTAATAATCCAAGAGTTTGGAGTCGTTACGGCTCTTAATCGTTCGGGAATGAGAGAAAATCTCACACAAGATGCGAACTTTTGCCAATAATTTTTCCACTCGACTTCTCCTAAATCCAAGCAAGGGGTGGGAACTTCGAAAATTCCTGATTATATTTTTTCCTTAATTATTTCTCTATCATATATAATAAATTTTAGTTGATCTCAATATCTTTAAGTTGAATAAAGTTATGCCATAGCAAGTTTGTCCTATACTTTTCTTGTCACCCTGTATGAATGGGTAAACCCTAGTGATGTTCGAGAGTCAAAAAATCCCGAGAGTCGAGAGTCGAGACCGAGACCGAGAATCAACCCCGAGACCGAGACCAAAACGAGAGTCGAGAGTCGAGACCGAGAGTCGAGACCGAGAGATTAAGAGGGATATCACTTGATGTCCCTCCTAATCCCCAAAAATCCCTTGATATACCTCAAAATCCCCATACTCGCTTGAATCCACTTGTCCACAATATATATTCAATGATATTCACATTAATCTCTTAAAATCCCCTCATATCCTTCCATATCCCTACAAATCCAACAATATCTTTTTGATCCATCGATGCACCCATCCCTTGATATTAAATTTTATCCTTCAGAATCCACAGTATCTAATATACCACAAACCACAAAATCTAATCCTTTAATCTTATTAAATTCAAATTTTTGCTGCATTTTTGGCGCCGCAGGCGAAAATTTTTTGAATTTTGGAGCTCAAGAAGCCAAATTTCCTCCATTTTCAGCGCCGCAGGCGAAAATTTTGAGAATTTTGGAGCTCAAGAAGCCAGATTTCTTCCATTTTTCAGCGCCGCAGGCAAAATTTTGGGAATTTTGGAGACTTTTCCTTAAAAATTTTAATATCAAAGTACGCAAGGTCCGAGTAAAGTTCAAAAAATTTCCGTCATTAGGGGTGTAAATTTAGTCTCGTTTTCCGAGACCAAAACACCGAGACCGAGACCGAGAGCTCAAAAAACCCGAGAAATTTCTCGACTCGAGAGTCGAGACCGAGAGTCTCGAACATCACTAGTAAACCCCAACCTACCGCGAGCCCAACCTACCGCCGAGGCTATAACTTCGTTCAAAATTGTCGAATCTGAGACAACTTGGTATGGTTGGATTCAGCTCGTCGAGGCGTATCGAACCATACCAAGGCTTCCTGGATTCGACAATTCTGAAAGAAGTTATAGCTTTGGCGGTAGGTTAGGCTGCGGTAGGTTAGCCTGCTCCCTGTATGAATAGTTTGACGCAGAATTTTAAAATTTATACTATAGTATAAAAAAATAATTTTTTTCATAAATTAAAAAAATAAATATTAATAAAAAAATATAAAAGGAAGAAAAAAAGAGAATTAGAAAGGAGTCCAAGAATGAGGTAACAGAAAAAAACAGAAAAATGAGGGTGAGAGTTTGAAAAAAAAATAATAAAAATATTTTTGTGTATATGTATATAGAGATCTATAAATGGGACGGATGATTGCTTTTCTCAATTTTTTTTTTTGAATTTTTTTGTTTTTATTTAATTTGGCATTAGTATTCTTATATTTGTTAACCAAATTATACTCCTGTCTCTAGCACATGAAGATGTGATTCGGCAATCCTGAAAAATGAGGAAAATTTAGGGTAGTCTACATACTAGCTAGGTAGTATCCTTAAACACCCCTATAGGATACACCCTTGGAGTAAAAAGCGTCTCTTATAATTAGGGGTTCCTTAAATAGAGGGTATTGAGTAATCATAAAATTGATGTGTCTTAAATAGAAGGTAGCTTATAATAGGAGCATTTTATAACGAGATGTATCGAGGGTATCTTATAATGAGGCGTAGCTTAAATAGAGGGTATCGTTTAAGCAGCTCCCCCAAACAGTAGCTAACCAAATTTTCAAGACTTATCTTAAACTGGAGTGTATCTTATAATAAGGTCCGACTGAGTATTCATACTTAACTGTCGACCGACCCTCTTTAGAAGATTCACCCAATACTAGATACACCTCAATTCAAGATAAGCTTTTTAAAAGCTGGTTGACCATTGTTGGGCGATACCCTCAATTTAAGATACCCTCATTATAAGGTTACATTTCTCCCCGCCCGAGGATGTTCTTATAACAAGGTCTGAGTTTATACCAACCATAAATATATCCCCTCAGGCCTCTAATTAAATAATTCAATAGAGTACCGGTTCATGGTCCCACATCTCTGACATTGTCCTTACAATACAAGTCGAAATTTCATTGTCCATTAATGCTGGTCTAACACGAGGTCTACATTTACGCAAAGCTACATGTTCCCTTATTTGGCTGAGAGAAGGGTTTGTACCAATTTCAGCTTCGTAAGGAAGCATAAATGGTGGAGGTGTTGATGTTACTTTAAAATATTTTTTAATTAAAATTTTTGCGGATAAAATTTGCGGACAAAAATTGTGAATAAAAATTTGCGGATAAAGATTTGCGGACAAAAATATTTGCGGACAAAAATTGCGGACAAAGAGTTGCGGATAAAAAATTTGCGATAAAAAATTGCGGATAAAAATTTTTGCGGACGAAACTTGCGGACAAACATTTGCGGACAAAAAATTTGCGGCAAAGATTTGCAGACAAAAATTTGCGGGAAAAAATTGCGGACATCAATTTGCGGATAAAAAATTGCGGATAAAAATTGCGCACAAAAATTTGCGGACAAAAATTTGCGGATTTTTCTAATAAACAAAACTTACAACGAATATTTTCACAATTCTCGGTTACTTTATTTTCAACATTTTCTTCCTTATTTTCTTCATTAATACAAGTCCTTGATAATATTTCCCAGATTACCAAAGCAGCGGCATAAACATCTATTTGTTGGAAAGCAAAACTTGTAAATTCTGTAGCTCCTTCCAAAACTTCTGGGGACATATAGCGACGAGTACCAACCTTGTTTATTAAAATATAATCGGACCAAAAGTATAATATGTATACCCCGGGGAATTCAAATTTTCAGAATTTTATCTCAGAATCCAAGCTTAGGAATTCAAGTATTAAAACTCAAGTTTCAAAATTAAAGTTTTAAAACTCAAGTTTTCAAGATTAAGCTTCAGAATCCAAGTTTTTTAAAATTAAAGTTTTAAAAGAAATTTTCAGAATTTAAGTTTTGAAACTTAAGTTATAAACTTGAATTTTCAAAACTTGAGTTCTTAGTATTACATTCTGAAAACTTAAGCTTTAAACCTGAAAATTAAAATTTAAAACTTAAGTTTTTAGAATTCAGAATCCATTTTTTCAGAATCCAAGTTTTAAAACTTAAATCTGAAAATTTAAGTTTCCAATTTTTTTAAGCTTAAAACTCAAGTTTCATAAATAAAATTTTAAAACTTTAAAGTTCAAGTTTCAGAATATTTTTTGAAAACTTAAGTTTTCAGAAACTTAAGTTTTCAGAACTTAAGTCTTTAAGGCTATTCTAAAACTTATTTTTTCAGAATTAAATATTTTAGAGTCCAAGTTTTAAAGCTCACGCTTAAGAATTCAAGTTTTAAGATTCAAGTGTTCAGATTTTGTTTCAGAATCAAAGTTCTAAAACTTAAGTTTCCATTATTTATGTTTTAAAATTACAATAATATACATACTACAGTTAATTTCTAAAAATTAAATTAACACCTGTAAAAGATTTTGTCCAGGCGAAATAGTTTTTGAAGATTCACATTTAAGTGCTAACCCAAAGTCAGTAATACAAGTAGTCAAATCATCTCTAACAAGAATATTTTTACTTTTCAAGTCTCTATGTACCTGTAAACGATAATTTTATTTAATTTTTTGTCTACAAAATAGGGTCAAATCTCATTATAATATACCTCCTTGGGGCTAAAATATAACAGCTTATAATCAGAGGTGGGTCGGAATTCCGATTTCCAACTACCGATTTCCGACATTTTTTAATTTCCGATTTCCGTAATTTTGGAAAAATTTCCTATAATTTTTAAAGCATATTTCTTCTTGGCTTTAGAGAAGCCAGATTTTCGATTTCCGTCTCTTACGATTTTCGACACATCTAACTGTTACGACCCATCCCTGCTTATAATGAGGTGTATATTAAATAGAGGGTGTCTCTCAGGCAGCCTTTCCCACCCAGAGGCTAATCAAATTTTAAAAATGTATCAAAAGATGGGATACATCTAATATTGGAGGTATTTTATAGTGAGGTTTGACTGGGCAAACAAACAATTGTTGGCTTAGGATCAGATCCATTTGGTATTTCTTCGTGCAACTTTATAAAAATATTTTTTAATAAAAATAAAAAATTCAAAAAATATTACAAAAGCAAGTCCACAAAGCATTGACGAAATCATTCTTAACGATTGAAGCAAGGTTACTGTATTCTCCTTTAAATTATCAAGAATGTAAATTAAAATTAAATTTCGGTTATTTTCCTATATGCTTCTAAAAGTCCGCAAGTTTTAACGGCAAACTTAAGTTTTAAAATTAAATTGACATTAAAACTCGTCTTCAAGTTTCAAGTCTTTCAAACGATTAAAGTGTCAGAATTTGTTTAAAGGTTTTAAAGCTTGCGCTTCAATCTAAGTTTAAACTCAAATTTTCAGAATTTATTTTCAGAATTAATGAAAAAAATAAAGTTTTAAACCTTAAGTTTTCAGAATTAAAACTTTAAAGTTTAAACTCAAGTTTTCAGAATTAAAGTTTAAACTTAAGTTTTCAGAATCCAAGCTTTAAAACTTAAGTTTTCAGAATTAAAGTTCTAAAGTTAAACTTAAGTTTTCAGAATTAAAGTTTAAACTTAAGTTTTCAGAATCCAAGCTTTAAAACTTAAGTTTTCAGAATTAAAGTTCTAAAGTTAAACTTAAGTTTTCAGAATCCAAGCTTTAAAACTTAAGTTTTCAGAATCCAAGCTTTAAAACTTAAGTTTTCAGAATTAAAGTTCTAAAGTTAAACTTAAGTTTTCAGAATCCAAGCTTTAAAACTTAAGTTTTCGGAATCCAAGCTTTAAAACTTAAGTTTTCAGAATTAAAGTTCTAACGTTAAACTTAAGTTTTCAGAATTAAAGTTTAAACTTAAGTTTTCAGAATCCAAGCTTTAAAACTTAAGTTTTCGGAATCCAAGCTTTAAAACTTAAGTTTTCAGAATTAAAGTTCTAAAGTTAAACTTAAGTTTTCAGAATTAAAGTTTAAACTTAAGTTTTCAGAATCCAAGCTTTAAAACTTAAGTTTTCAGAATTAAAGTTCTAACGTTAAACTTAAGTTTTCAGAATTAAAGTTTAAACTTAAGTTTTCAGAATCCAAGCTTTAAAACTTAAGTTTTCAGAATTAAAGTTCTAAAGTTAAACTTAAGTTTTCAGAATTAAAGTTTAAACTTAAGTTTTCAGAATCCAAGCTTTAAAACTTAAGTTTTCAGAATCCAAGCTTTAAAACTTAAGTTTTCAGAATTAAAGTTCTAAAGTTAAACTTAAGTTTTCAGAATCCAAGCTTTAAAACTTAAGTTTTCGGAATCCAAGTTTTAAAACTTAAGTTTTCAGAATTAAAGTTCTAAAGTTAAACTTAAGTTTCAGAATCCAAGCTTTAAAACTTAAGTTTTCAGAATCCAAGCTTTAAAACTTAAGTTTTCAGAATTAAAGTTCTAACGTTAAACTTAAGTTTTCAGAATTAAAGTTTAAACTTAAGTTTTCAGAATCCAAGCTTTAAAACTTAAGTTTTCAGAATTAAAGTTCTAAAGTTAAACTTAAGTTTTCAGAATTAAAGTTTAAACTTAAGTTTTCAGAATTAAAGTAGTAAAACTTAAGTTTTCAGAATTAAAGTTTAAACCTAAGTTTTCAAAATTAAAGTTTAAACTTAAGTTTTCAGAATTAAAGTCCAAGCTTTAAACAGAATCCAAGCTTTAAAACTTAAGTTTTCAGAATCCAAGCTTTAAAACTTAAGTTTTCAGAATTAAAGTTCTAACGTTAAACTTAAGTTTTCAGAATTAAAGTTTAAACTTAAGTTTTCAGAATCCAAGCTTTAAAACTTAAGTTTTCGGAATCCAAGCTTTAAAACTTAAGTTTTCAGAATTAAAGTTCTAAAGTTAAACTTAAGTTTTCAGAATTAAAGTTTAAACTTAAGTTTTCAGAATTATTGTGACTTGCGAATAAAACTTTGAGACTTTTAGATGTCTAAACCAGAATATTTAGGCATTACCTTCAAATAATCAAAAAGAGAACATTTTGAATAAAATTTAATTAATAACATATATTTCTTTTCAAAATAAAATCCACCAAGAAATTCGGCAATATTATCATTTTTTGAAATTGATTTCATTGAATGAATATCCTAAAAAATATTTTTTTTGAAAAAATTTTTTTAGAAATTTTACCATTTCATTAGTCCAACTATCCTCTCCATTATCCACAAATTGTTTTACAGCCAAAAATCTATCTCCAATTCTTGCTTTATAAACTTGTCCAAAACGTCCCTCAGCAATTTTCTATAGAATTAATTTTTTTAATTTTTGTAAAAGGGCAATGTAATAGATTTAAAGGGGCGTTTGCGGGCATTTTTAGGGAATTTTTATATATAGAAGGGTCATATAGTTAACCTGAAAAATTTTTCAGTAATACAATTACTTAATATAAGTAATAGTAAATGTTAGTTATGTAAGAGAGTTTAGCATAAAAGTTGCATTCTTGGTCAGGACCTAACCAGTCCACACTAGGCCAATGTTTGATTAACGGGTGCCACACAATCAAAAAATTTCCGGATACCTTCAGACGGGCCTAATAGTTTAATGAGATTGGGAAGGATTACGGAAGATATCGCGGGCTTTGGGGGGAGATCGGGGAATTAATTAGATTTGGAAGGATATCTAGAATATCATGAGATTTGGAAGGCTATCAGGGGAACTCTCTCTCTTTCTAGAACTCTATAAGCTCTCCATTTATTCAACAAAGGTCCGCAAACCTCCTTCAATTCCCCACACATTAATTTTAAAAAATTACCTCAGTAATTTCCATCTCAGTCAACTTCAACCTAGTTCCATCACTCAACGTAACCTCCCCACCAATTAAAGGTTCTCTACTGTTCATTCCATTACTAATTGGTCTAATTTGTTTAATCCCTTTTTTTGTAATTTTTTTTCTAAGTTTTTGACTAATAGCAAAACATGAGATTGAAATTGTTATGAACAAAAGAATTAAGAGAAGCATTCCAACAATGAATAATGCCAAATGGTAATTTTGTAGTTGTTGGTGGAATGTTGGTTGGGATGGGGGAAGTGTTTGTTGTTGGTTTGCTTTAATTTAAAATTTGTGTATTTTTTTTGGAAAAAACAGCTGGTCTAGTTTATGTGTCCGTTGAACCTTTATGAGTCCAATGAAATTTTACGAGTCCAAAAAAAATTTACGAGTCCAATGGGGGTTTGCCTATATTGGGTACAGACTCGGCGAGGTACCTAATACTTTGAAATAGAGTAGTAACCAGACCTCGAAAACCCCGACGTATTTTTTTAGCAAAAACCCCGACCCGAACCCCGAAGGCTCTACCCCGACAAACTCCGATCCTCAATACACCCGCCTCCTCCGGCGAGGTACCCTACTTTGAAACTACTCCCCCTCCCTCCGTTCTTTTTTATCTTTCCTATTCCAATGACCATTCTTAGCCTTCTTTCTTCCCTTTTCCCTTATTTCTCCTAAACCCAGTCAAATTGACCCAATAAGTACCCAACTATGGGAATCAGACTAACAGTCCACAGCAGTGGTGTGAGTCATTAACCCAATCTAAGTAGATTACTCTTTGGTCATTAGACGCATGAGCTATACTAGAGCTAAACATTTCTGAAAAAAATATTTTTCCTTCTTTTACCTAGCAACTTGACAATTTCATTATCTTCTTCCTCATCTTCATAATCTGGTTGGGGTTTGAAAGTAAATTTTGAATTGCAATTGTGTGTTCGACAGCAACAGAATTTGGCCGATAAACCTATAGTTCCGGTCCTTCTAAAAATATTTTATTTTGGACTTTTTTAGGTAACAAGGATAGAGAGATAGGCACACTTATTCACAGAATTTTCCAACCAATGTCCCCTATCATAAATTTTCCATTTGCCCTATCTAGTAAATTTTCATACGTTAGCGGGACGTCCCAGCCCGTTAACAAATGTCCCGGCCCCAGTATCCCAGTCTAAACCTTGTATCGACCACACATTCATCTTCAGAACGACATTCGCGTAATTCACTAGCACCTTGAGACCAACAACTTTTAATGCTTGGTATTTCATGAAAGGTCCCATTTTCATTTATGGTGTATAAACTGACGGCCATACAAGCCTGGATTTTAATAAAATTATTTTTTAAAAATTTTTAAATAACCAATAAATGTGTATTTATCGATGCATAACACTTTACGGTTTCTGTGCAATCTTCGGGATTTTTAGAAGCACAAGAATTTTGTTCATATTTCTAAAAAAATATTTTTTATGTAATTCGTTTTAAATTTCTTTATTTTAAAATTTCAGGTAGAAAATAGGTAAAAGTGACTAGGCAAGTTTTACGGGTGCTGCGCCTACTATAAAAGCCTCTTTATTACTGTTAAGGTGTCATTAATTAGTTTAGTATAAAAGGCACAGCTTTTCTCAATCTTTATTATTCTAGATACAGTCGACATTCTATAATCAACTCTTATTGTTTCTATTTGTGACATTACTAAATTAACGATGGTATGTGTTGATGTAATCAACTATCTAGAAGTAAGCTTATTGCGGGAGAAGGTCAGATTACATAATATAAATTTATTCAATTATCATTTCTTTTAAAGGAAAGAATAGACCAACGAAAAGAATAACTCTACAAGGGATATTCCTACAAGGCGGGTCTTTGACAGGATCAGTTTGTATCAATAAATTAACAAAAAGTAGAGCGCTTCTCTGTTAAAGGAAAATTCCTACAACGCGGAACTTTGAAGAAATATGATTATATCAATAGAAAGGAGCATATTTTAGCGATTATTTTATTTTTAATTTATGTATTGTTCAATAATTCATAATTTCATAAATAACCTGGCAATAAATAAAGGGTTTATTTTTCAATGCAGGCTCAGTATCGTTAACATCCAAATCATAATTAACACCAATTTTGCCAAATTTATCAAAAAATTCTGGCAAATTCTTCTCTTGATCGTTATCAGTAAATGCGTTTGAAGTGCCCAAATAATTGTTGCTGTTGTCTATGATCTCTTCATCACTCTAAGAATTTTAAAAATATATAAGGTCCCCTTCACAATAAAGTTAAAAACAGAAATAAAGCTTATTTTAGGTTCCGCAACTTTTTTGCGGAATCTGCAACTTTTTATCCGCAAGTCATATTTTTTTATCTTCTCGGAAAAACAATTTTTATGAGTCATTTTATAATACTTAAATTATTATCTAAGCTAATCTCTACATGTTTACAAACAAATTTTGTTATTAGAAAATAATCCCTTAGGAAAAAAATATTTGCGGACAAAATTTGCGGACAAAAAATATTTGCGGACATTTCCGTAATAACATAAAATGCTCCATTTTAAACCCCGAATTCGCATGAAAATAATTTTTTTCAATTTTCACCTGTTGTTGTAATGAACTATTGAATCGATCTCTGACAAACCCTTCCACCCTTTTGTTGTCAAAAAATATGTTGAACAACAAAAGATTGATGACAAACGACGAACAATAAAACATTCGAAAAATTAGCAACATTTAAAAAATAAATATTGTAATTGATAAAGAGTCAAGAATTTTTTCCGAATAAAAGTAAATGAATAAATCTGTTTAATTAAAAATTAGTAAAATTTTTAAAAATTCAATTTCAGTCCAAATTCAATTTAGCCGGCAAAATTCAAATTAACTTCCCAAAAATTAGATCTTTTTTAATTTAAAAACGGTTAGGATTTTATAAAAAAAATTTTTGGTTTAACGATTAACGGCCATTTGATTTAGGAACATCTGCTAGTTTATTTAAACAAATTTTAGGAAGCCGTTCAAGTTGTAAAATTTAATAAAGTTGGAGGGCGGGGGGGGGGGGGGGGGTTCGCTAGTAAAGCACCTCGCTTGAACGAAACTTCAATGTTAACATAAAATTTTCAACCAGAAGGGCAACAGATAAAAGAGGTCCTACCCTTTCTAGTACGACATACCCACTTGAAAGTCAAAAATTTGAGGAGAGGTATCGTATAAGTGAGTGTCATAAACATATAAGGTCATAAACAGGGTTGTGAATTATATAGCCGAAGAAACACAAAAATAAGCATTAGGACAAGGATGGAATTTTTCAAAATATGAGGGAAAAATAGACAAAAATATAGACGAAATATGGACAAAAATTAAAAATACCGTATTTTCTCGATTAATTCCTCTCCCTCGAATAATTCCCCATGCTAGAGTTGGGCTGAAACAATAATTCCCTATCCCCAAATACCCTACTGCACGTTGAAATGCCAAAACTCGAATAATTCCCCCCACTCGATTAATTCCCCATGCCAAGGGTTAAAAAATAATTCCCCAGGGGAAGTAATCGAGAAAATACGGTAATAAAATTTATTAGAGTTTTAGCAACATTTAGGGAGAAGCACTGTAGAACAGAAAATGAAATAACAGAAAAAAAAATAGAAAATATACGTAAATAAAAATAATTTTTTTCAATAAAATAAACAACCATAAATATCCAAAAATACTATAAATTTCTCAAATTTTCTAAAAAAAAATTTTCTTTTCAAAATTACAAAAAAAATGTTAAATATAGCGTGCTAAATTAAATTATTTTTTAATTATTAAATTAATTTATTCTTAAATGCAATTTTATTTTGTCTAAAAATAAATTTTTTCCTCAGTAAATATGGCATTAATTAAAAAATGATGTAAAAAAATATTTTTTTTAAATTTTGCTATTTAATTTTAAAATTAAAGATTGAATTTTGTAATGGAAGCAGGCTATTTCGGCGCAAACTCTTCAAGCCGTAGGGCTATAGTTTCCTTTAAAACTCTTCAAATCCCTCATGTCCTAGTAAGTAGAGGCGGGTCGGAGCTCCGATTTCCGACGTTTTTTTCCTTCCGAGTTCCGAAAAAAATTTTAATTTCCGAGTTCCGACTTTTGAACCAGTTCCGATTTCCGAGTAATCTGAGTTCCGACACCTCTGATGTTCCGACCCACTTCTGCTAGTATGGTCTGGTGCAGCTTTACATGTCTGAATCGAACGATACTATACCGCTAAAGACTCTTAGGGATTTAATTTTGGCAAAATTAAAGTATATTATGGGAATTTGAATGTCCAAAAAATACCTGAAAAATTCTCAAAAAAATTCCCCCTTTAGGAGTAGAGTTGGGGGTTTTCGAGTCGGGCCGACGTTTAGTCATTTTTTTCGAGCCTCATTTTTATCGGGGCGACCGACCGAGTCTTTTTCGAGTCAAAATTTGATGCCCGACTCGGATCTTTAGGACCAGACCGGATCGCTCGACTCGGATCTTTCGGATCGGGCCCCCACCCCTATTTAAGAGGTGTGTATGTCTAAAACCGAAACCTGTCGGTTTTGTTCACCTATTTTCTAGCATCTATTCTAGCAAGCCCTATGTCTTTGGCTTTCGATTAATCGACCTTGAACACGCTTGTTTTAACCAGCGTTATACTCACAAGACGGAGAGGTTTCGCGGCGATTGAGCGCTTACCCATTAGAATTTTCTTAAGAAAAGGAAGAAAAATTTTTCAAAAATATTTTTAAGCGTTGCAAAAATTAAAAAGGAATTAAAGAGTGGATGAGTAATAAATTAAAAAGTAGTAAATAAAATAATTTTTTAAATTAAAAAAAAATTTTTTTTTCTCAAAGCCTCCTTTCATCATATTAAAAATTAATAAAATTAAAAAGAAAAAATAATAAAGTGCAACAAAAGTGTAAAAAAGTAAAAATGGGTAAAAAAGGGTAAAAAATGGCACCTGGATAAATTTTTAAAAAAGTTCCTTTTTGCCCAGGTTTCGAAATATCTCTGAAGTCCAGGGTGATCCTTTTGCCGTGTTTACAAGGCAATTGCCCTACTTTTGATCGTTTCGCTCTGTTTTTCCCGTTCTGCATTATTTTAAAAATTTTTGGCATTCTGTAAATAAATGGGGAAAGGAGGATTTCTGGCTTTTTGGCTTTCCAAAAATATTTGAGGCACTAAACCGATGAATCTAGCTTCCTAGATCCATCTAGGTTTTTTAAAAGGTTGATTTACCCCTTTTTTGCCCTATTTTTGAAGGGATATGTCCTACTTTTAGTGTGTTAGAAGGGAACACTCTGCTCCTTTCTTCTCGAAAAATACCGAGAACACATTTTAGACTCGGTATTTTTCGATAATACCGTAGCTATAGGTTACTGATACGAGGTTGCAATATTGATGCCTGTATGGGGCGGCTTGGTTTCACTATGGTTGGGGTCGTGGGTTCGAACCCGCGTGTGGGAGGATTAATTTTTTAAACTTAAAAAATACTTAATTCCAAGTCTTGAGTACTTTTAAAGTGTTTTTCGAACACTTCGAATTTTATGGGATAAGAAAAATAAAATTTACAATGAGTTCATGAGCGATATTCTTGCTAAAATAAAAACAAAAATCCATACAAAATCACCCAAAAATTTTCAAAAAAAATTTTTTAGAAACTTTTCCAAGCTAAATTTATTTAATTAGCTTTATTAACTGGTAAATTAAATTTATATAAAAAAAGATTTTGCTTGAACATAAAAAATTTATCTAATTATTTTTTATTGGGAAATGCTCCAAAAATAACCTTTGCAAAAGGATTGAAGCCGTTTAGGCGCGTGGACATTTAGGCGCGTCCCATTAAAACTTAAGCTTAACCAATCCCTAAATTCCTGAAATTTTTCACAGATCTTCTTAACGTCCTTGCCTAACATCTCCAAAAATTTCAAAATTTTTCGTCAAATATTTTTAAAGTTATGGGCGATAAACCTCGAAAAATTACGGTATTTTTTGGTAATTGAGACATTTTTGGCCAGAATTTCTGAAATTCTGGTCCAAAAATTCTGAAATTTTTTCAGAACGTAAATAAACATATGAGGTCTGTTTATGCCAAATTTTACACTCCTAGGTGCCATATTCTCTATTTTATACCCTCTCGCGCCCTAACTACCTCGCGCCCAAATAGCCTCCATTAATTGCGAATTATTCTAAAAATAACTTTTTTTTGTAAAGAAAAAAATTTTTCTAAAGCTTATTTTAAAGCAAAAAATAATAAATAATAATATATTAAGTATTTTTTGTATTTTCTTACAAAAATCCAAAAGTTGCAAAAATGAAACGTCAAACAACACAAACAAATAGAAAAATAAATTGTTGAGAAAATGTTAAGAAAAATATATTTTTTTATAAAAAAAGGCCAAGGAGTAAAAATAAAAAAATACAGGGTGCACCATAAGTAATTGGACACTTTTAAATTCCTTATAACTTTTTTTGTTGTCAATATTTTTAATCGATTTTATGCTTATTTTTTAGCTCATTCAATTCTCTATTATGGCTAATCAACGTGATTCTATAATTTCACTTTTTTTGAAAAAAAATTCAGTCCGCAAAATTTCACCTCTTTTGAATGTCCCAAAGAGCACTGTACAATACACTTTCAAAAAATTCTGGTGAAAATTTTTTGGGAGAAAATTTTTTTGAAATTAATTTAGTAATGATGGCACAACTAAGAACTTACAAAAAAGTGGAAGACCGAGTACCGTCAGCACTTCCAAGAATATTAAAATGATCAAAAACTAGGTGCATCGCAATTCTCGACCCTCCATGAGAAAAGTGGCTCGTGAAACCGGAATAAGTGAGAGGACCGTCAGACGAATAGCTAAAAATAAACTAGGGTTAATACCCTACAAAATCCAAAAAGCACAACTGCTAACAGAAAAAACAAAAAAAGTTAGGCTTGCAGGATGCAAACTGCTCCTTCAGTGGCACGCATGTCCGGACATTCCCTTCTCAGACGAAAAAATTTTTACAATAAAAATCGTACACAACCATCAAAATTATAGAATCTGGACTACAGAATCTCCTCTTTCCGATGAGCTTATCACTCATTTCCAACATCCCCAATCTGTCATGGTTTAGGCCGGTATTTGCGCGTCAGTCAAAAAACCCCTTATTTTCGTGGATTTTGGTGTAAAAGTCAACAAAGACTATTACTTGCGAGAATTTTTTCAGCGTGTTCTGAAGCCTCGGTTCAAGAGCCATTTCGGTCGCAGAGTCTGGATTTTCCAACAGGACTCTGCTCCGGCACACAAAGCGAAAGAAGTTAAGGACTGGTGCTAGGCCAATTTTCCTGGGTTCATTAGCGCTCAGGAATAGCCGCCATACTCCCCGGATTTGAATTCGATGGATTATTCTTTTTGGTACATTTTGGAGTCCAGGGTCTGTGCTAAGCCTCAAAAAAGTTTGGAGTCTCTGAGCCATTCTCTCACCCGGGAGTGGGACTTAATTACACTCAAGGAGGTGCGTGCTATTTGCGAAAATTTTTCTTCGCGCCTTCGCCTCTGTATCAAAGCCAAGGGTGGGCATTTCGAAACTTCTTGATTATTATTGTTCCATATTTAATTCTCTATCATTTGATTGTATTTCGATTTTATTTGATTGTGTTTTAATAAAGTTATGAGAGAAAACATGTGTCCAATTACTTATGGTGCACCCTGTAGAGAAAAATATTTAGAAGGAATACAGAAAAACGGAAAAAAATAAATATGGAAAGAGAAAAATATAAATGGTATGCGACAAAATGGTACAGAACAAAAACGTACGAGGGGCAAAATGGGGAAGAACTGTGGAGATTGACAAGAAAATAAAATTTAAAAAACGGAATTAGCAAAAAAACAAAAAATAGCATCGAAAAACAGCATCGAAAAAGGATTTGGTCAAATACCGTTTTTGCCATGTACCATTTTGTCGTATGTACCGTTTTGTCTAAAGTGCGCGCGCAAACGTCAATAAGAGAGAGAAGTAACTGAGTGCTCGAACCAACTCAGTTCCGGATTAAATAACTTTTAGATGAATAGTCCGATTTTGATGGTCTTTGTACCATTGGATAGAGCACAAAATTTTCTATAAAATGAATTTGGAAATAAAAATTTTGATAAAATTAAAAAAAAGTTATGACCAAAAAACTCCCTAAAAACGAATTTTTACCGAAAATTACAAGTTTTTCGGCCATAACTTTTTACTTGTTTTATCAAAAATTCTGCTTTTAATGTATTTTGTAGCAAATTTTGTGCTCTATCCAATGGTACAAAGATCATCAAAATTGGACCATCCATAAAAAAGTTATTGGGCCAGTAATAAACTGACCTCAACACTCGTCAACATGTAAAAAACGGGGAATGGAAAACATTTTTTCTTTTTTCTATCATTTGTTTGGGGAGAAAAACTGAGGGGAAATGAATAGCAAGCACGCTCGTGAAAAAAGCTGTATAGTGATAGATAAAGCTGAAAAATCAATAAAGAATGCGTGGAATTAAATAAAAATGAAGAAAAAGGGGCAATTTACCGAAAGATTTTTTACAGAATAAATTAAAAAATGTTTTGTTTTCGCACAAAAAAATTTTCTAAACTCTCTATATAAGATACACCGATATAAGCCGTCTCACCTCAATTTAAAATACCTACTTAAAATTTGGTTGGGCATTAGGTAGACGGACCTTTTCAAATGGGATACGCCCAATAGGCGCGCGGCCATATCGGCGCAAAGCCATAACTTGCTGGAAAATTTCTGGCTCATATCAATTTTGGTACCAATCTCTTTAGCTCGATGAGCGGAATCGTTTAATACTAAATTTGGTAAGATTCAGAAATCTTTAAGCAAGTTATGCCTTTACGCCGTTATGGTCGCGCGCCTAATTGGGCTTGTACCCTTCAAATGACCCCCAATTTAAGACACACCCCATTACAGTACCTACAAACCTCTCTGTAATATACACCCAATACTAGATACACCTCGATTTAGGATACAGTTTTAAAAACTATATTAACCATTAGGTAAGGGAGGCTGCCTTAATGACACCCCTCAGTTATGGGCACCCGTCATCTTATAACTATGATTTTTAGCCCCTAGGGGCATCTTATAAGCATGTCCATCAAGGATTTAGCTTCGTAATTTTGTTCAGAATCGCCAAATCTAACCGATCATGGCTCTTGTCCAGTTTATGCGTCCCATGAAAGTATATGCGTCCCATCAACAAAAAATTGGATTTTTCTTGGTGTTGCAAAGTAGGATATGGTTCCAAAGCATTTCTTCATGTTCGGGATCTACGTCCACTGGGTCTGGGACCGTTCCTTACCCTATCCTTCGAAATTTCTGAAAGTTATAGCCAATTTTTAAAAATTTCAGAAAAACGATTTTAACTTTCAGAAATTTCGAGGTATAGGGTAAGGAACGGTCCCAGACCCAGTGGACGTAGATCCCAAACATGAAAAAATGTTTTGGACCCATACCCCTACTTTGCAACACCAAGAAAAATCCAATTTTTTGTTGATGGGACGCATATACTTTCATGGGACGCATAAACTGGACAAGAGCCCCGATCATATTATCCTTCTACTCAGCTCGAAAAGCTCTTCTGAATATATTGTAAATTATATATCAAGCAAAAAAGCTCAAAATGGTCAGGGGAACAGATAAAAAAGGGGGGGGACCAGCCTTGGTATTACCGACATATGTACATATTTGTAAAATATATAAAATAAAATTTAAAAATAAAAAAATAAAAAAAATAAAAATTTATTATAGTCAAATAATAATTTTAAATAATAAACATATTTACTAAAAATGAATATTAACGTTTATATGTAAAAGAGCTTTTAATATTTTTGTTTATTTATTAAACTTTATTAAATAAATTGATAAACTAAACTTTTGTCTTTTTTGAGTAATAAAAAGGTGAGTAAAAAATAAAAACTTTCGATTTTTTTGTTGATTAAAAATTTTGAAAAATTTTTGAAAAAAATATTTTTTTACTCGAATATGTATGTAAAGGAAAGACGTGTTTTCTGCTTTCGCCTTTCGTAATATATGCAAAATTTCGCTTTTTCTAATTTTCTAATTTCGCATTCTACTTTCGCTTTGTATTTTGCTTCGCGTTTTCTCGCTTTAGCATTTTAAAAGACGTCAAGGCCCATTTCTAGTACCTTGATATAAATAACCCTTAATAAGAAACCTCTATTTAAGATAACTCAATATAAGAAAGATACAAGTACACCCCAAGGTACCTCAAAACACCCCATGGTACCTCAAGACCAAGGCAACACTGTTCAGTATTGTTGAATCCGGGACGTCCTGATATGGTTCGATGCGCCTCGTAGAGCTGAATCGAATCGTACATCCCGTATTCCACAATTTAGAGCGAAGTTATTACTCTGCGGTACCTTGGTCTGCTGCCGTAATATAGGTAACAATCAAGATACCGTATATCCTTTAATAATTACTCTGGGTAATTATTGTTTCGACCTTCCGCTGGAGGGAATAATTAATCGAGGGAGGGAGTAATTAATCGAGGTTATAAATTTGACCGTGTTTTAGGGCATTTGTTTGGGGGTAATTATTGTTTCAATCTATCACAGGACGGGGTAATTAATGGAAGTGGGGTAATTATTTGAGGGAGAGCAAGTAATACAGGTTATACGGTAGGTAACAATCAAGTTAAACGAATAACCGTTTCGATTGATATCCTTTTTGATATCCTAGTCCTGCTATAATTATGATACGTTTTTCATTTTAATATTAGAAAATTATTTAATTAAAAACAAAAATAGAATATTTAATATTATGTAAAAATTAAATAAATTTGTTTATTTTTAAAAAAATTTTTCATTTATTTTTTTAAAAATATTTTTATTTTTTTAACGATTAAAAGTACATAGGTACACAAAATTCATTTATTTTTATTAAAGTGCATGTATTTATTTTTAATTTTTGTTTTTAAAAAAGAAAAAAAAAGAAATGAATGTTGGATATTAAAAACAAAGTTTTCTTTTTCTCTATCTATTTTTTGATTAAAAAAAATAAAAAAAATATTTTGGATTTGTGAGATTTGAGGAAATAAACTCATACAAGATACACAAACTGTGCCAATACCTTGTCAAATCTCGTAGAGTATGATACGCCTGGACTATATTAAAAAGAGTTGTAAGGATTCCGCTGGCATTTCAGGCAACTTTGTTTAAAAATGGCGACTTTGTTTAAACAGAGCAACAGGTTCTAGTTTCTATCGAAAAGGTTTCATGGTGGGGAAAATCAGTCCAAAACCGCCAAGAGAACATCGTTTACTGTGAGTGCGAATTTGATATTATCTTTGGTACCATTAGAAAGAGGGGGAGATTACATCTTGCAAAAGATGTATTTAAACCGAGTTATCGCGCCCATAAATGTATATACTATATACACAATTGACGTAAAACCTTCAGGCCTAACATAGAAACACCCTTAATTAACCAAAATATTTAGCCAAAAATAAACTGCTTTTTGTGCAAAACTTTATTTAAAAATAAATAGAAAGATTAATATTATATGTAAAAACAACAACAAGTAACCAAGGCTCCATTTAAGGAAAGAAAGTAGTTGCAGATCCAAATTAAGGCTTTAATAAGTACAGGGTGCGGCAAATTTAGCGCCGACTTTGTTTTGGCTATAACTTTTTTAATTTTAAACGAAAATTGATAATTCTTTTTTTCCTGGATTCCCAACACTTTAGGAAAATTGTTGATACCAAAATCGTTTTTAAATTTTATAATTAAGTTTGATTAATTTTCTATCAAATTTCGAGCAAAAATTTTTGGATAAAATATGGCCTGGATTCAAGGCTATTATTTTAATTTATGAAGTTTACATATCATTCGAATCAGCTCTCCAATCTGATTCGAATGACGTCAAAATCAGGCGTCTATCACATAAATGGACCGAGATATGGCTCACTGAATGATAAATTAAACAAATTTTGGCAAATACGAATTTTTTGTGTGAAATTTTCAAAAATGAGATTATTAGCTATTTCGATACGCCTGAACGAGATAAGTCGATTGGTACCAAAATTATTCGGATTGGATGATTTTGAACAAAGTTATGATCACTTAAACTTTGACATGAAAAATCCATTTTTACCCGTTTTTATGTTCGGACTCGTTTTTCATTGATATCCGCAAACAAAATGTTTATTATTTGGTACCAATAGATTTCCTAAAGTGTTAGGTGTAAAACAAAAAAAGAATTATCAATTTTCGATTAAAATTAAAAAAGTTATAGCCAAAACAAAGTCGGCGCTAAATTTGCCGCACCCTGTATTAAAAAAAGGTGTGTGTGTGTGGTTGTTTTGGAGGGGGAAAGAGGTTTTCTTAGCTAGTTAGTAGGCTCTATATTTAGTTAAGGGTGGTTGCCAAGGAAAAAAGTGTGCGGAGTGTGTGTGGAGTTTGTAAATCTTCCAATTCCTTTACTTGAGATAATTTATTTTTCAGTAGCTACTTAATTAGATGAAGAGAAAAAGTAAGAGGGAAGAAAGAGCTGAGTAAATACAGAATTTTATTCAAAAATATCCCACACCCATTAAGAGATTCGAGAATTGCACAAGAATAAAAGCTTATCTGAAGCAGAAAGATAAAATGTAGGCGAAGGGGATTGAGACTGGATCAGACAAAGGAGATCAGGGACTAGTATGGTCTATTATGGTTCATCTAGTAGAGCAAAACATAGGTCATAAGTCTAAGACTTTTAATGGGTTTTCGGTCTTGTTTAGAGTCCCTGTCTTGGCTTGAAAAATTTTCGGGCTTGGACATCTCTCCAGCAATGTTAACGCTGACACTTGCTTTTAAGCACTATCAAAAGCATAATTTAAAAGGGCTTAGAAAATAACAAGTCTTTAGACGAGAT